ATATATGTATATATATATATGTATATATATATATATGTATATGTATATGTATATATATATATATATATATATATATATATATATATATATATATATATATATATATATATATATATATATATATATATATATATATATATATATATATGTGTATATATATATCATACTAAATCATTACTGTTGTAATATCCAATATTATTAACTGTATCAATCAACAAAATAACAGAATTGAAAATAAACACTTTTGTAGCAACAATGATCCTGAAGATGGAGTATTTTTTTCGCAATCAGCACTTTTAATTTACGTAAAGCTAAGCAATTTACTTCGAAAACGCTGAGTAATTGTTGAGCTTTGCGTGAATAAAAGTTTGAGAAAAGCTCCTGAAGTGTTTATTCACGTAAAACTGACCAGTTACTGAGTAAAAGCAATTGCTTTTTTTTATTCACCTGGCTGACTAGTCATTAGTGGTTTACTTACCCGACGGGCATACGAACATTTAATCAACGTTTAATTAATGTTCGTTCTAAATGTTTAGATTTAATTTAGTTTTGATTTAGAACGTAGGTCAATCGAATGTTCCATTTAAACCGAATCTAAATGGTTCGTTTTAAATGCTATTTAAACTCCATCTAAATCTTTCGTTTTAAACGTCGTCTAAATTTTATAAATTTACGTTTCTTTAATTTATATGCTTCTTTAAATAAGCGCCGTAAAGAAAAGTCAAACGTTGAACGCGTAACTAAATACTCATAAACGAATCAAACATACAGATATTTTTTTTCATACATGCAAGTCTTAAACATATTTACACTAATTTTAATTATTATAATATCGTATTTATCATTATCATGATCGCTTCCATGACAATAAGCATCATCTTTGCTTGAATCGTTCAAGCCAGCCTCTCCATCTTGAGAATTGGAAAAATGGGCGCCACCTTTCCCAGTGCCACCTAAACGAAACGGAGCCATTCTAAGATGAGAACCAATGCACGAATGTATTTCGGATAAAGAAGACGTAGAATATCGTTTCAATACACACTCTAAAAATAATTTAAAAAAATCAATAAACATCTTCATTCAATTCATATAAATCATTTATTCGACAATTTTATAAATTCGTAGTGTGTACTGAGTAGATTTGAATTATAACCTGAGTTTGAATTTAATTTCAATTACAAAAAATATAAAAATAATATTTTACCAACAACAAGTTGACACAGAGCAGAGTCTCTAAACGGAAGCTTTTTAAAAGAACCTTTACCATCCATACTCAAATGAGACATAACAAAATTTGTAAAAAGTCTTTTCAATAGATTCTTAGAAGTATCTTTAATGGATGACCCTCCGATTCGTGAAAGAGGGCGAAGCTACAAAGAAATTATTTATAAATGCTACTTTTCATTACACATGGGATTCTAATTAATACAAAAACAAAAGTCTTGCCACCTCAATGAAAGCAAAACATATTTTCTGACATCAAAACAAACATTATATAGACGTTAAAAACCTTTCTGGGAAAGAGGATAAAAACAATTAGCTATACACTTACTAAAATTGTTCGATTAGCAAGAACTCCACATTGCTCCTCTAATTTTCTGTATCCATTCAAGGTCCCAATAGCTCCAGCTATAACTTCTAGATGGACCTCAGCAACAGTCTCTAAACTTGGTACGGCCATCATTTCCACTGCTATTCGTAAATCTTTAATTTCGTTAGCCATATTTGATAACTGATAAAGAACTTTTCTCTGAAACTCTGTAAAATATATAACATTTATATAAAAACCTTATTAAAAAAACTACACAAATTTCGTTATAACTGTTCACAGTGATAGGTTGATAATAGATAGCACAATTGCAAAGCAACTGCCTTATCTACAGTAAAAAAATAAATATATAAATAAGGTTTGATAACTTACTCCCATTATCGATTTCATTTTCTTGAGGAGCAGTTGGCTCACTCAGTATCATGTTTGCTTGAAACTTTCTATTTAATGCTGATAGTTTCACTACAATATAAATAATTATACAATTACATTGGGCGTTGTAAATCAAAACTTATTTAGAAACGTCATTAAATTTTTGCAGTATATATGTAAATCAGACCCCATATACTATACAACATTATACTATAAATAAACAATAACTAATATCATTATTACAGTTAATTCTAGATATCTCTAATATTTACCAAATCCCTTGGATATTACACTTAAGTTAAAAATTAAGTATTACTTGATCGATCTATTACATTGTCTTCTGATGTGGCAGCTCTCTGTCTGAATATTGGTATTTTAGAATCAAATTTTCGGGGTAACAGAAAAGGAGAAAGTGCTGATTGGTTAGCTATAATGTAAATAACTATATAGTTACATTATTTATGCAAAGTTGTTTTCAATGAAAATTTACTAAATTTTCCTAAATTTGATTTAAAAAAGTTTATCCTTAAAAGGATAAAGGATTAAATATGTTCATAAGTCGTAAAAGTTAGTAGGTCTAAATCTGAAGATTATTTAAAAGTGAAGGTGGTCTATATCAAAGATATAAATTTAGACATCTTACTTGATTGATCCATTTTATTTTCTTTTGGTATAGTCACCATGCTTGATTTGAATGAAGGTATCTTAGAATAACAGCTTGAACAACCAGGTGACTGTGGAATTGGTGATAGTTTAGCTACAATGTAAATCTCAGGGTATACTTTTGAGATATAACCATTACAATTATTATTAGTATTCAAAGATATAAAGTACAACAACTTACTTGCATGATCACTTTTATATCCTTGTGGTACCACATCCACAACCTTTTTATATAGTGAAATATTTGATGGTAACATTTTGCCTAATTCAGCAGGTGGCTGTGGAAATGTAGATAGTTTTACTATTTTAAAAATAAAATACAATTACAGCAAGTGTAAAAAATTATTTTTAATAACTGTTTTATTACAAAATACATACACATAACACTATTATTACTATTATTATGTAGGCTATTATTAGCTCCTGCTCTACTCTTCATAAAATTACTAATTAATGAACTTGTTTCTTCACGCAGCAGCCTTGTTCGTCAAGGTTTGTGTTTCAGAGTTATGAAGTTGAGAGAGGGTTGAAACTACAAGTAGCCTCTTCGATTGTAGTGGTCATCTCAGCCTTTAGGGAAGTGAATTAACATAAAAAATATATATTCTTACTTTCTGTATTAATATCAACATCAACTTCTTCCTCGCCTGAAAAAAACAAAGTGTTTTACTAGAGCTGTATTAAAGTAGTGGTATTATATCCGAATAAATAACTTCAATTTTGATTAAAATAATGCAAAATTATAGATTGATAATAAGTTTTAAATATTATATTTTATATATTATTTGTCAGTTTTTGTATATTTATGTTATTATTTTCAGTTTATATATTCTATTTACTATTTATATGAGTATTAACAAATTAAAGTAAAACCTTCAAAAAAAGTTATACAAGCAGTACGCTTGCGCTTTTTTGAAACTTGCTGATTATCTTCTTCAGTTTCTGTAGTTAAATCATAATTATTACAATCCTCGTAGCAATCTGTAAAAGAAATAAGAAAATATTTAATTTATCCAAAGAAGTTATTGACAAATAAATTCTTTTAACAAGTAATGACTAAATTCTTTAACATTTTGTGAATGTAAATTATGAAGCTGTTGTCAAAAAATAAACACAAAACCTGAAGTAATTTTTATTTTTATTAGTTTAAAAAGTCGCCAATTTTCATTAGGTTCTACTCCTTCTTTCATTAATTTAAACGCATTTATTTTGGATGGGGGCCACATAACTACTTTTCCCCGCACCCATGCGGATGGCAAGACTCCTTCTTCCTCACGATTTTCTTCCAACCAAACAGCCCGGTGATATGACATTTTACTAAAATGTTAATACTATTTTTATTGTAGGTACATCAACACATAACATAAACTTGTAACTAAACTTGTTTAAAAGTGTTTAATATAAGTTTAGTCGTTTACAAATACATAAATATTATTTTACTAATACATATAAATAGTAGTTTAATTATTGTTATTATCACTTGTTTCAGCTAAACAAGACACTAATAGAAGTTATTATCAGAGGAGATGGTTATGAAAATTTCTATATTAATTACTCTTTAAAATTTTAAGATTAATCTCTAAAATTATTTAGATTTACATTAAAAGTAAACAAAATCGAAACAAAAATTAAAAAAAAATTAAAAAGTTAAAACATAGGAAAATAAAATCACAACTTAATATACCTAAAATAAATTTACAATAACTTACACCAAATTAAAATATTAATAAAAAAAGAAGCTATAATAACTCTTTGATTAACTACGAAGGCTAAAAAATATATAGCTTTTTTCACTCATAGTGCTAACCTAGTATACTATGAAATATCTTCCTTAAATTAAAAATCACATTAGGCATATTAGCATATTTAAACATATTAAACATATAGACATAAAGACATATTTAAAACTATATTAGAGGGAGATAAATATAAAAAGAAATGTTTTTGAATATTTTTCAGAAAAGATCTTGCTGGAGCATCACAAATAACTGAGTGCAAAATAACTGTATAATTTTTACCATTATGAGTGATACCATTACATTTTAAAAATTTATATTCATCAATAAAATCCTTTAAGAATTCTTTAACACAGTTTGGCTTACTATCTCCTTGATATAAGGCAACAATTGTGGGTGAACTATGATTAACAGCAGAAAGAATCGGCCAAATTTGTCTTTTCGATGATCTAAACAATGATATACCGTCAACATTTATTTGCAGATTGAGTATATTACTGCAAGTGCCTTGATTTATTGAATTCTGTAAACATTTGGTAAGGCCAAAATAAATGTATTTTCCACCACATTTTTCCTGAACTTGTATAGCTTGAGGTGTTTGTAAAAGAGTACGGCTATCTTTAGGCAGCTCGCACCCATGTTTTCTCAACAAGGCTAGCAAACCATTACATGATAATCGTGTGAGTTTTGCATTAACAACCCATTGAGCTAGATTGTATTGAAAAGATCTATTGCCAACAACTTCTATATCACAATAATGTTCATCGTCTGAGCTGCTATTAGGTGGTACTATGTCGATGTCAATATCATCTATATCACAATTTTCTTCATCGGAACTACTGTAAGGTGGTACTATGTCAATGTCAAGTCTATAGGTATCACTATTAAATAAATTATCAGTTATATTATTTGCAATAGAAGATAAAGCGAACAAATTTTCTGCATCAGTTGAAGAATTTGATAACACAGGAGGATCACATTCAAAGCAATTATTTGCATCTTTAACAACTTTTCTATATTTTCGCATATACTCTGCTTTTGCACTCATACGAATGATCTAAAAAATTTATTTTAATGTATATAACTTGACATCTCCTTAATTTTAAATAGAGAGTGTATATAGTTAATTTTAAGTAGAGAGTGTATATAGTATAGAGAGTGTATATAGTACTTTAAATAAAGAGTGTATATACTTAAAAATTGATTTAACTGCGTTCCTTCTAAATGAGTAGAGTCTTTTCATTGTTGCATCTTTATTTTCACAGATTTATTATTATTATTATGGAGATTATTATTATGAAGATTAAGATTAAATAATTACGCTAATAAAGTAAATAAAACAAATTAGAAACAAAAACAGTAGTTTAAAAAATGTAAAAGGTAAAAACTATACTTTTTTTTTAATGAGTTATAAAATTATTTTTTTATACACAAGTTAAAGATAAGGAAATCAAACATATTGACAACAGAGTTTGTCAAGGTTTGTGTTTCTGTGTTAAAGAGTTTCACCGCTGCCCAAATTTTTTCTCAAAATAGGCCCTGTATATATATATATATATATATATATATATATATATATATATATATATATATATATATATATATATATAAACATCAGTGGTAAGATTCAAATAATTTCACAACGGGTTCTGTGTGTCCAAGAAAAAGAAGTAGTAAAATTTTTTCAATACGAAAACTAGTATTGTTTCATACGTAGATAAAGCGTTACATAAAGAATTATTAAAATGAAAATATTTGTATGTATGTATGTATGCATATATATATATATATATATATATATATATATATATATATATATATATATATATATATATATTATATATATATATATATATTTATATATATATATATGTATATTTATATATATATATATATATATATATATATGTATATATATATATATATATATATATATATATATATATATATATATATATATATATATATATATATATATATCTGTGTGTGTAGTTATATCAGGATGTATATGCATGTATATTTGTATGTGTGTAAATCACAGTGTAATTTACACTTTATTACATTTCTTTTACTTAAAAATTGAAAGACTTATAATGATTTGTTTTAACTTTTAACAAGTCACTTCTATTTTAAGTCTTTTTCTTTTTAAAAAAAAGAACGAATGTAAAATAAAAAAAATACAATAAAAAAATATAAATATAGATTGAATCAAAATCAAAAAAGATTACAAAATCCTAATTCTAAAAAAAATGCATTTATAGCCCTTATTCTCTCAAGTAGTTGAGATTCACACTTAATATTTATTTGCACTACATTGACAATGTCTCAAGTACTTGAGAGAATAAGGGCTATAAATGCATTTTTTTTAGAATTAGGATTTTGTAATCTTTTTTGATTTTGATTTAATCTATATTTATATTTTTATATTCATGTAGCCTACAAGTCAAGTACCTATTATGTGAATAACATTCTATAAGAATTATAATAAGAAACTTATTATTTATCTGTATTTTACCTCTTTTGCAATCTTTTAACTACTTCTTGGTTTGATACAAACTATTTCAAATCTTGTAAAACCACTTTTTTCTGTAATACAAACTGCTTCAATTTAATTAAATAATACCAATCTTAATAACTTTCATAACTAAACCTTTTTTTAAATTTTTGTGATATTTATGCGAATTATTATAGACTAATAGTCTATTTTAATAACAGTCTAAGTATAGTTTTTTATGCCATTAGAAAATCAGACTAAATAACGATTTTAAATATGGTAACAAGCATGTTTTAATATACAAACAAGCATGTCTAAAGGTCATTATCAAAAAGTTAATCCTCCTAAAACATCCGTTAACTCAATTTTTGTTTACTCAAATTTCTTTTAAGTTTTCTAAACTACTATCTACATAATTTAATATTCATATGAAATTCAAGTTTTTAAACAATAATGAAAGATCCAAAATGTCCGTTTCATTCTGTGCAAAATCCCTTCTGGGCTAATCGAAGTAACGGAAACCGGCATGATTTAGCGCTTAAACGCTAACTAAATATTCAGAACTCATTTAGAATTGATTCCTAATCGTTTAGAACGACGTAAATGTCATCTAAACGCAAATTAAATATTCAGAACACGTTTAGAATAGATTCCTAAACGTTTAGATCGACGTAAATGCCATCTAAACGTGATCTAAACCAATTTTAAACCAACAAATGCCCGTTGGGTAGTAACCACTAAGTAACCGGTTAGCAAAACTACAATAGACCGCCTAAAATGTCTATATAGGCTTACTAAAATTCTTTTATAAAACATTTGCTGGGATTATTATTATAGAAAAGAATATTATATATGGGGCTGTCAATAAATGATGTCAGTGATTTTTCTCGATTTTTGACCCCCCCCCCCCTATTTTGTCAAATTCTGTCAATTTTGGACCAACCTCCCTATATATATGATATCATTTTTGTCCCCACCCCCCAACACACTTCTTCGTAAATAACATTTTAAAAAAATGCGTAAACACCATTTATTTTTTTCTGGTTAAATTATACATTTATACAGTAGTACATCTCAGCAAATTACATTATAGAACAGTTGATATCTCATCAAATAATAAACAAATTAATCAAACTAAGCAAATTTTATTCTATACCTATAATATAAATTTACTCACTCATCATCTTTCCATGGGTTATTTAAATGATCTTCGATTGAAACAACAGGTAGTGAATACTCTCCGCAAACTAAAAGGTTATTGTCCTCTTGAGGTATAATCAGATCCGTTGCGTCAACTTTATTTTCATCTAACCATTCAGCAGTTTCCGAATTCTTCTGGGCAACAACTACCATAAATTCTGTCTAACGCTTGGCAGCAATGGAAACTGGTTGGACCCTTTTGATAGGAGGGAGTTTTTGAAAGTTGAAGAATGGGCAGAAACTTGCTTTTTTAGTATAGCTTGAGAGGCAAATTATGTGTTGCATTTTTTACAGATTCTATCAGCTAAGCTAGACTGAGTTGATGGACAAAACGCATCATACGGAAGAGTTGGAAATCCTTTGGCAGGTCGAGGAAAAATACTTTCAATGTTTGATGCAATGAGCATAAACAGGGATGATGGAAACAATTATTTAGTCCTTCTGAAACATCTACTGCTTTGAGACCATCTTTTATTTAACTGACCAGTACAGACTGTTGCAGAAATCGAGCTTTAATTAGAGTTAAGTAAGAGCTTTATATAGTGCGACAACAAGAATGGTTTTCTCATTTCACAATTTGAGTAAAATATTGACTTGTACAAAGATGATAGGCAACCCAACGTTGATCTTGTAATTAAAGAAGTAATTAGAGTCCTTGACTCTAGTTTTGATTGCTTTGGATTAATATACTCTGCAACGGTTGGATAACCGTCAATTTTTAGGTCAGACCAAATATCTGCTAAAGCCTGTCCGGCAAAACCAAAGTTCTTTTTTTCTAAATCTATTGTCCTGCCTGATTTTAAAATATATAATGGGTAAAAATTATTTTATTTATTATAAAAAAAACTTTTTCCAATGAATATTTCTAATTGCCTTAAGAATCAAGATGAATTCCGTAATGCTCGTGTGGAATAAACCCCTCAGATAATTCTCTACTTAGAGGTGCCATTCGTCGCTCAGCTCTGTTAAATGCACTGCGTCCCAGAGCGTTCGTCGTGATAAAAAGAGCATCGAGATTATTCTTCAAGAAATGGTGAGTTTCAATTTCAATTACTTTCCGGTATCTTGGATTTTCGTCGGGTCCCCCATTGACATTAAAAACAACGATAGGCTTAACCATATTAGTTAACAACGATAGACTTAACCATATTAAACTTTGGTAATAGAGTCAAAATTTTTGATATCCAAGAGCCGCTGAAAGTCTGATCCATGAGCAAAAGCGGTCGAGGATGCAGGTTTTCCTGATCTAATAGCAATGTAGATAGGCCTAGAATAAGTAACAGCATCTGTTTTTCCGAGACCATCTCTTTTGATAGTAGTTCCAGCGTATACTAATGTATAAGCTTGTTTTTAGCAGCCGCGACCCATTCGTGGTCCGAGAGAGTTACCCGTACTCCAAATGCATCAACAGCGGCGCCTGTTTTTTGGCTGCTGTGATTCCAATTGGAACTTTTGCCTTGTCGTCTTGGCTAATGAAACACATTTCATCTGGTCTCAAAATAGAATAAACTTCTTCAACATATTTTACAGTTGAACTGAAGCAGAGTTTATCAACATGTTTTAAATGAGATTCATTCTGAGCTCTGATTAATCTAACAGGAACTGTTTTAACGTGTCTTTTGCCTTAAGGGCGCTTTTGCTGATTGCGAATCCAATTTTGCGAACGTCAATTCGTCGAGGGTTTTAATGCTCTAAATAATAAAAGGATATATTTGGATATAATGAATTACTTAAAAGAAAATGGGGTTTGTTTTATAAACTATATTACTCGGAGAACCTCTGACCAACGTCTTTCATTAGCAGACGAACCAGGCAATATCAATAATCACCTTCAAAAGAAGAGGTTAATCAACTACTAATGTCGACCAGGTTTTATTCTGATTTTCAGTTTCTCTTTGACTTCTGGATGTTCCATGCAGATGTCTTTCATTCTAACCTTTTTAGTTCTCTAGTTTTCTTCTGTTGAGCTTTATCATACTTTTCTTGGCCAGCTCTTTGATTAGATGAGCTAATTTCCTCTTTTTCTTTTTCAAATCATCCTCTTTAGCTTCAGCAATGAATCCGTTTTTCTTTCTAGTCTTCAGTCCAGCAACTTCACAATTTAAAACTGAAATCTTAGAATTAATACAATTTTGAGCCACTGTTCTTGTTTTTTTTCTTACTTTTAGTAGTCGACAAATTGGACCATCAATAAGTTAAGCAATGCGGCTTTTTCGATATTAGTTATTATTGATTTATTAGTATTGTTTACATCACAATCAAAATGATGGTTTTGCTCTTGTTAGAGCAAGCTGTTTAAAATAATTTGTTTAAGCCGCTTTGAAGCAATAAGCATTTTGTATTTGCTATAATGACTTTATGTGTTTGCATTGCATCAAGTTTTACAAACCGCTAGAGAGCAATTAGAATTTCGTATTTGAAATAATGACAATTGTATTTGAAATAATGACAAAGACTTAAGACTTACGTTTAATAATGACAAAGAATTAAGAATTAAATAATGACAAAGACTTAAGACTTACGTTTGCTTTGAAGCACGTTTTATAATCCACTAGGAAGCAAATAACGGTTATTATTAGTTTTATACACAAATAGTTGATTTTTGTAAACTATTAGATTTGCAATCAAATGGTAGTACAATAATAAAACGTTAATAAATTTTTAATTTATTTAATGTCTAAACCATTTTTATACCACATTATAGATATAAATTTCTATTTTAGATACCAAATTGTATATTGAAAATACACAATTTTTATGCCACATTGTAGACTTAAATATCTTTAAAATCTGCTCATATACAGGCCCGAGGCAACCGGGGGTCAGCATAGTCATTTGCCCCACCCCCCCCTAATTATTTTTCAAATAATTTTGATAAAAATTGACTGAAAAAATGACTAATAATAAAAAAGGCCCCTTAAAACTATTTCGGGGCCCTAATCCAACACTGCCCCCCCCCTCCAATATAATTTTTGTTCCTACGAGCCTTATAAAAACTTAAATTTTTTTTTCTTAATTGACATCATTTTGGTCCCAACGCCCCCCTACCCATTGTCAATTATTATCAAAATGTTCATTACCCTCTTCCCTTATATTTACTGACATCATTTATGGATGGCTCCTATACTAGATAATATATAATTATTATTTACAATTAAAATAAATTACAAAAAGAATAGTAAAGTATAATTATATAATTATACTTTAAAATATATTTGCTGTTAATTTTTAATTTTGTGATTTTATTTTTTAAGAAAATAAAAAACTGTTAATCTATTATTTAACAACTACTAATCCATTAGTTAACAAACTATTAGTTACAAAAGCCTTTTAAGTATGTAACTGTTTAAAAAAAAACATTATTTTCTTTACAACATTTGCCACAACCAGTGATACATTAAGAATAACGCGGTCAAAAGATATATTATTATTATATTCTTAATATATCCATAAAGGACGTCACCATTTTTTAGCCAATTTTTGACCTACTCCCCCCCCTTGTCACCGGTTGTCCTTTTTCCCTATACCCCCCTTGAAAAGGACGTCATAAAATTCTGAACCCTCCCCCCCCCCTATTTTTAACTCCAAAAAAGTTTATTTCATTTCGCAATGATGTTTGAATCTGCTGCTACACCTTTGAAAAATAAAATTAAAAATATTCTCATACATTATCTTCTTAAAAACACATGTTTACATAGTTTTCCATGTTAATTAAACTAAAATAAAAAATCTATAAAGTGACATCCTTTTCTGACAACCTCCCCCCTCCCCTTGTCCTTTTTTGTCCTTTTTAACTCGACCCCTCCCCCCTATTTGGATGACGTCCTTTATGGATGGCCCCTTATTATAAAAGTATAAAACAAAAAAAAAAAAATAAAAATAAAAATAAAAATTAAGTCTCTAAATTCTATATACCCAAACCACAACCATTTGAATTAATTAAATTTCTCAGTGCTGTTCCAACAGGTCCGGTTAATAATTAAAAACAATAACAAGTGTCTGAAAAATAAGGATAAAAAGATGAATTAGAAAAAATCCAGCTTGTAGATTTTTAACACTTAAGTAAGTAATGATACAAATTTATTTTAGATATTATTTTATGTGTTTTTTATTCCCATTTTCATTAAAACTTATCTAATTCTGTTGTTAAGTTAATTTATTTAGAAAACTCACATCTGACATTTAAAGCACCTCGCCAAACTGGATCAACTTGCAATGGACTACATCTTATCTCATCACATTGGGGCTTTTCAATAATACTCTTTTAAAGTAGAAATTAGTGTTTTAGTTACAAAAAGGTACAAGTTACTATTTAACTTATTATAAGTTTCACAAAAATACACATTCATCAACTTTTATATACTTTGTGAATTTTTAAAAAAATTTAAGAACAGGTTTTTTAAAGTAGGTATACATTGAATGATATATTGGGATAAATGGAATGAGTTGTATACATGTTAAATGATAAAATCATACAAAGATTTGT